TGTCGCACTGACCACCTTTAACACAATGAAGACAGTAGGAGTTATTGGGGGGGGGGGGCAACGATGGGTTGGCCGAAGTTAAAGAAAGGTTGCCGATGTGTACGGACAACGAGCCGTAGTCAATGTGTTAAAAATTGTTTGCGACAAAAGTGTATGCGACCTTTTTGATCCTAAGGCTAAGATGCGATCAAAAACAAAGTTGTCTCCTGGACTTTCCGAGATGAGGAGATGGGTAAAAAAACGGTAAACGAGATGGGTAAAATAACATAACTTATCAACAATTTGATAGAATTGGATGAAATTGAGGGAACAGAATGTCAAAGGTCTTTCAGTCACGGTGTATGCAATCGTACGGTGCACTTTAGTCTGGATCAAATGGGACTGGCTACGTAGCAGTAGGAGTTGATGGAACAGGAAGAGGGAGATTATGGCAGGCTCTTGTGGTGTTCCTCATTAGAGCAAGTCTCAAAGATTGCACTAACGTAAGGTGACTCAAAAGCACGGTCCGGGATCACGCCTGTTCCCTTCCATTCATCGAGACAGGCAAGCAAGTGGTGATGCTGTGGCCCCTTTGCGGCTTCGAAGTGGGCAACAAAGGCGCCAGAGGTTTGCTCGACCCGCAATCACGCCTTGGTCCACAAGCCCTGCCTTCCATACCTTGCAGCGATAGCATTGCGGCCCGTCATTGGAAATGGAGCAACTGGATCTAGCCGTTCCTGAAACTCTTCCGCACACGTCCCTTCTCCATCCCAAGGTAGAATACGGCTGAAAGAGCTGGGGCCTTGTTCGGAGCGTGATCAAAGGTTTCTTTTGTTTTTTTTTCAGCCTACTCCCCACCTCCAGCTTCATTACTATGCTCTTACAAACCCATTTGATGCGGGTCTTGCCTTAAACAGGAGCAAGAACCATTGGGAAACTGGAAGGAAGGGATGTAATACGAGTGAAGTCCAGGAGCTTGGTATTGCCCATAGCAATGCCTTACGTGCATGGGGAGCAATATGAAGCACACCCGCTGCTGCTCAAAGAAGACGAGGTGATGAAGCACGCTCAATCGTAACAGCAGGTGATCATTAGGTATTGTAGCTGGTAAAAATGGACCATGTCAGCCGCCGGCTGCAGTTCAGTTGCAAAAACATTTGTGAGTCAGATTGTTTGCGGCACATAATACCAGCCTAACCAGTGGCACGGAGTATCGCATTGGGGGAGGGGGGGGGGGTGCTTTAGCCGCCGGATAGTACCTGGTATTTCGTTGAAATCGGCACATCGGCGGTCCAACATGATTGATTTGCTAGCTCAGGCGAAATGATGTGGGGATCAATTTACCAAGAGGTACTGAGCTCCAGACTGTGACCGCGGTACACTTTCAGGTCAACGTTATTGTGATGGTAAACTTTTCCTAACGTGCACCTCTTAAGGGGTGTGTTCGACGAAAATTTTCTTCGCACGGAGGGCGTCGTGCGAACACATTGAAAAGCCAGGGTGGAGAATCTCGGAACGAGAGGATATTCGACGATCGGTTAAACCTGCTTGAATTTCTCCTCACATGCATGGCTTATGTGAAAGTTATCGTGAAATCCAATATGCATCTAAAGAGGAGCTAGAAGAAGCACAGCCAACTCCATTAGCCAAAACCTGTCCAGCTATTGTCGGTTTGCCGCGTAAAGTTTAGAGGAATGGGAAACGCTTCCGGCACACAAACTCCCGTCCTCAAGTCCGCCTTAATGTGACCGGTATGGCGAGGGCAAAGTAGCGAGTGAGTAGCACCCACAGCTCCGTAATGCTTCACTGCCCCTTCGGCCTAAAACCATAGTTGTCCTTTAATAGGTTTGGATATGCGAGTAGCTTACACCCCTTGAAGCCCGGCTTTTCAATTAGGTCTTCGTAACCGACCTTCACACGGTTCTCTCCTTCTCGATATCGTGTTTCGACGTTCGGTAACCGCCAAACTGTTGATCTTCTGTACAGTCCCTTCGCGAGTGTGAGGCGCTCCGTGAGTTATACGAAGATAGATTTAGCAGAGAGATACCATGCGAAAATTACTTTCGTCCTTTAAGTTTTGCACGCAAGTGTTTGTCTAGATGACTGTTTTTTACCTTGTTGTTGCAGCTGCCATTTCTCTCACTTTCCACATTTATCTACCTGACGCACAAGCATTCAACCTGCTTCACGCTAGAATATGGCAATTCGCAATAGGTGAGTTTGTGTTCCATTCTCACCTCTGAGAGCTACACCATTGAAACTTTAAGCAGAATGTAGAAGCACATTTTACGATCACAGAATGAACATAAAATTGTGAAGGGGAGCGCCAAATACAGCTGAATTAAGGGGCTTCTGTCTGAGGACGACAGTGCTCGGGTGAAGAGATACTATACGCAGAAGGGAGAGAAAGGCGAGAAAGCTTAACGGCGAGCGAGAGCAGACATACCGCCTCGCAGACTCCAAGAACAAGATCGCAGCGAAAAGCGGCGGGAACATTGCCCTTGCCACACATCTTCAAGCTGTAAAACCTGTATATCTTCTACCAGTGCCCATGAAAGAGCTTGATCTAACTAAATAGATCCTCGTAGAGTGAGCCTCGAATGCTATTCTCTGCAAAACGCGAATGTTGCTATCATTCAAACTCATGAAGAATTCGCCCCATCATCACTTAGGCCGCGTTCATAGTTCGCGACTGCGGAGATTAGGATAGTACGCGACAATGAAAAACATATGTATTGACGGGGAGATTAGGATAGTGCGCTGACAAGATTAGATATGTATTGATCTATTCGCTTGAAGTCGCCCAATCTACTACTCTCCAGCGATTTCAATCGATACGTATCCAATCTTGTCAGCGCAATCTCCTACTCTACTACTATCCTAATATCCTGTCGCCTACTATCCTAATCTCCCGAGTCGCGAACTATGAACGCGGCCTTACTGGACAGATTTCTCACACGAAGAAGTTTGCTGAGCATGCACCCGTGAATGTGGGCCACTTAAGCATCTCAAAAAGCGTGGAAGGACGGTAGTAGTTAAGAAATAGCAAATATGAATCTTCAGGCTCAACCTAGGCGCTATTCTCGAGGGGGGGTCGTACCGTTTCAGTCGCTTGAAATCACATGTGAGTTTGAGGTGAAACTGAAGTTTTATGGGTAGGTAGGCTGGGTGAGTTGAGGGGCGCAGGAAAAAATTTGCCGTTTCAGCGCGCGTATATACCCCCCCCCCCCCTTAGAAAATGAAGTAGTGGGAATATAGGTAAATATAGGTAAAAGCCGGTAAAAGTAGGAGTAAAATGGCGGAGAGATAGGGAATTCTTTACTGTTTCGGAGTAGCTAC